AAAAAGAAATACTGTTGAATTCCAGAAGAAAGAGAGTGGTGTGGAGAGATAGGGAAATTCTGATCTACTTATAAGAAAATAACAATTTTTTTTGATTCATTTTTTAGATTCATTTCTCAAAGGAACATTCTCTCCAAGCCGGGTGCTATGGCGCAAGCCTATAATCCCAGTGGTTTGGGAGGCAGGAGGACCATGAGTTCAAAGCTAGCCTCAGCAATTTAGTGAGGCCCTAAGCAACTCAGTGAGACCCTATCTCTAAATAAATACAATAGGGGCTGGGGATGTGGCTCAGTGGTTAGGTGCCCCTGGGTTCAATCCCTGGTTCCAAAAAAAAGAACATTTGTTAACTCTAGCTCTGAACTAAGTAAGTTTGTTTTCTTCAATCCTTCATGCAACAAGATACAAATATAGACATATTTTAATTCTTTTTCTTCATCATTTGCCATATATTTTGAGGATTAAAAAATGGCATTTTCAAAGCTTTGAGTAGGGAGCAAGTGTTATTTTTGGAAGTCAGATTGAATACATAAAGAAAGGCACAAAATAGTCTGTGATAACTACAGAATCATGAAAGGGAGGGAAATAATGGAATAAGTCATAAAAGTATGTGTCAGGAAGGGGCAAAATTGTGATGTATGCAGACAAGGGGAGAAATAAAAAATGTCCATGCATTTCTGCCCCTTTCAATACTTTATTCACACAAATTACTCAATACAGTTTCACTCTATAGGTTCTTTTTTTTTTTTTTTAAAAGAGAGAGAAAGAAAGAGAATTTTTTAATATTTATTGTTTAGTTTTCGGCAGACATAACATCTTTGTTTTTTGTATGTGGTGCTGAGGATCGAACCCCGGGCCGCACGCATGCCAGACGAGCGCGTTACCACTTGAGCCACATCCCCAGCCCACTCTATAGGTTCTTAATCAAGAAAACGATAATCCTTAATGCTAGGCTCTGCAATAGACATAATCAATTCACAGCAAACGATTCTAGATTGATTGATTCACAGCACACAATTCTAGATTAATTCTAAGCTCCGCAAAACACACTTAATCATGATAGGCTAATGACAGACATTCCCTCTGCATGCTAAGTTCAAAAGTCTTAAGCCTTAGGCTTTATGTCCAGCAGATGCACACTCACTCAGACCGCAGTGACCAGGTCCGGAACCCAGGAAGGCTTTTCCTGGTGTGGAGTGGACGACTAGTTGAGGACTGGGGAGAAGGGAGAAGTTGTGGCTCTCACCAAGGTCCAGAGGAGGTGGTAGAGTTTGAGAGCAGTGAGGATCACACAGAGGATCAGGAAACAATGACGAGTGATGGGATGTCCGGTCCTCATCAGGCTCTCCAGCTCGAGTGCATCCTTGTTTCTGCTGGCTGAATCCCTGTTCATTTGCTCTATCATTTATACTAAATTTTGGGGCTCTTGATCCCCCTTTCAATCCTTATCAGCTACCACCGGATTTCTCAGTGACATAATTTACCCTGGGGTCAGAAATATCTGGTCTGATGGTCTCCACCCTGATCTTCTCACCTTTCCCTTTTATCAGGCGAGGACAGCCTGCCAGGGGCTTCACTCTGTTTATCAGGGTGAGGGGAAGGAACTTGTTTGTGACCATAATGGAGGGCTCTGTGGGTGTGCCTAATGAGACAGCAGGTTTCAAACTGGAGTTTTTAAAATGCAGTTGCTTAAGCTTAGGACTAAGGCCATCCTAATTGTGTGTGTGTGTATGTGTGTGTGTGTGTGTGTGTGTGTGTGTGTGAGAGAGAGAGAGAGAGAGAGAGAATCTGACAGTGTTTTTATAGAATTAGAATTTTAGGAGGTCATCTGGTTCATCTGGTCATCTTGTTTTATAGACAAGGAAAGTGAAAATCTGGAGAAGACATAGGGCTCATTCAGAATCATGGCAGCATCAAGGCTAGACTCCAAGTCCCCACGTTGTCTTCAGGGATTTCTTCTCTTTATGTACAGAGCTGCCACAGCTGGACAGAGAAAAGAGCTTCAGTTGTTTGGAAAGATGAACATTTACTTCCACAGTCTCCATTCCCCTGGGAAGTAGATGAAGGGAAGACTGATGAAGAGCCTTAGAATAAAAAAGTATTGTATTCGTTTTTCTCCAGTGTTGGGACTTTGCGAATCCTATGTCCAGTTGAAGGTGAAAATTGACCTGTTCAGTCTCCCAAATTATCCCCAAGATCATACTTGCTCTCTGTCTTCTCCATCACTGCTTTGGCTGAGGCCCTCATTATTTCTCACCTATGCACCCCAAATGGCTAACTGAGCTCCTCAGAATCATGCTCCGTGCTATTGCCAGAGAGATGTTTCCAAAACACAAATCTGATCTTGTCAGCTCAGATTTAGCACAATCACATAGCCCTCAAGATTTTAACTTGGACTATATGATGCGTATGACACTATATGACAATCTAACCCTCTTTTCTGACCCTCTGCCAGTGATATCTGATTCCTGTGATTGCAGTTTCTAGAAAATCCACATTTTATTCTCTGTGCAGTCTCATCCATCTTACCTTGGCTCTGTGCCCATCCTGCTCATCCTTCAAGAACAGGCTGCTTTTCTCAGGTGTGAGGGTTAACACAACTCTCCCAGTAGGGTCAGCCAGAATCTCAAAGTGTGCTCCATGCTCTCTTTAGATATGTCTGTTAGTGTGTGGATCACATGCTCTGTAATGGTCTGCTTCCATGGTCTCCTCTCCTGGAGAGCAAATTCTCCTTTAGAGCACAGACTGTATCTGGTGGAATTGACTCAACAAACGTTTGCAGAAAGAGAGGAAGGAAGGAAGAAGGAAGGAAGGGAAGGAAGAAGTCAAACTGCATCAGTAGAGAAGAGACTAACACTTTTTTGTTTACTTTTCAAAGATTTTTTTTCGTGTGTGTGTGTGTGTGAAAATAAATGTTCCCCTAGCCAGGTATGGTGACACCAGCCTGTAGTTCCAGCTACTTGGGAGACTGAAGTGGGAGGACCACTTGGGCCTAGAAGTTCAAGGCCAGCCTGGGCAACTTGACAAGATCCTATATCTTAAAAAAACAAAACAACTTGATGATCTTACCTTCCCCAGTCCTACTCCTCAGAAGTAATTTTTTTTATAGTTCCTTTCTTCCAAATCCTTCATTACACCTGTATAAAAAAGTATGCAAACATCTTTTAAAAAATAAATATAGAATCATATTATATGCGTTCTTTTACTGGTTTTGCTCAATATGTTACGAGCATACATAAAGATCAACCACTTTTTTTTGAGATCCAATCATAGCCATTTAATTTTTTTTCAGGTTTCTTTCTTATTTTTTAAAATATTCAATCCTAGGTATATATAGATATAAAAGGCAAGATATGAATTCAGAATTTCTATAGTAATATTCACCCCTATTCCTTAGGGGTGATTCCTTTCCCTGACATTGAGTAGCTATTGATTACTAACTGGTTATAGATTAAATAAACAATATCAAATAAACTTATCATATTCCTTGAGTCTTACTTTTCCTTAAGCCTATACCATATCATTTTGATTAATGTTTACTTTAAGATAGCTATAAAGTGATTCTTCTATTTTTATTTTTAAAAAGTCTTTTGTATTTGTTTTTTAATTTTAATGACAGTAGGATTTTTTTCGACATATCATACGTACATGGAGTGTAACTTCCCATTCTTGTGGTTGAACATGATGTGGAGTTTCACTGGTCATGTGTTCATATATGAACAGAGGAAAGTTAAATCTGATTCATTCTACTGTCTTTCCTATTCCCATCCACTGCCCTTCCATTCATTTCCCTTTGTCTATTCTTCACTTCCCTTCCTCCTTATTGTGTGTTAGCATCACTTATCAGTGAGAACATTCTGCTTTGGTTTTTGGGGGCTGGCTTATTTGATCTACCTCATTAAAAAAAAAATGATTGCATCACATCCCATAAAATATATGTGTGCCATATTTTAAATTTCCCATCATTTAGAGATAAGTAAGTTCTAATTTTTTAAATATTTATGCTGCAATAAGTATCCTGATTTGTCTTTAGTCTTTGAATAGTTTCAACATGGTGACACCACCATGTTGATTATAGTGTCTGCAAGAGCTTACCAGTGTGGAGTGAGTGATGTGCAGAAGCCGGGATGACGTTTGCTTTGGTCCCTGTTCTGCCCCTATTTCTTGTGTATTTTATTCCCTTAGCTCTTGATAGAGTTAGAGACTGTAAAGGGATTTCCAAGGGACACAAAGTGGAGATTCCACAATGTTTTGCTAATGTATAAGTGTCCCAGGAAACTTCGAAGGCTCACCATCCAGTTATATGAATCACTACTCTAATTAGATTCCATGGTATTATACAAATCTTTCTATCTGTTTCTTTCTGTGACATTTTTATTGGTGCTTTATAGTTTTACATAATGATGGGATCTGTTGCACATGTTTATACATGCACACAATATAACTCTATAATTTGGCCAATATCACTCCCCTAGCACTTTCCTCATCCTGCCCCCATCTGCAAGTCTCTCCATCTTGCAGTCAGTTAATTAGTCATAGAATTGTGCTCTGCATGAAGAAGGTACAAAATGGATGAATAAGATCCAGAGAAAAAATTTCTACCAAACTTCCTCCTTTCTTTTTCTGTAGGCATTAATCTAACCCAGTAGCCCACTAGTGTATGCATATTGTAGGGGGGAATATTGTATTTGTGGCAATAGAATGGGGTTTCTTTTGCAGTTAACTAGGGGAAATGGTGTTTGCTGGGGGTCTTAAACTGCTAACCTCGTGCTTTACTCCTCCTCCTTCCCTGGCTCCTGCCTCTCCCTCTGCCCTCCAAACCCTATCAGACCACTAGAAGGGAGGCAAGAGAAAAAGCAGAGAGTCCAGTCCTCCCTTGCTTTTGTGTCTGCCCCCTTCTTTCCTTCATGCCCACCCTTCTTTCTTCTCTATGGAGTGTGTGGACCATTACTTATATTTTACTCCTACTGCCAATTAATTTTTTCTGCTCTCCTTCCTGGAAGACTCAGATGGACGATAAAAAGCCAAGGAAACCGAGTTTGACTTCCTTCCCAATTTTGAAAGCAAAAAAGAAGCAAAATTTCACCTCTGTGAAGGTAAGGATTCATGAATTTCAACTAGTGACAAGAGATATCATTGTGAAATCTTGGGACCTGGCAGTTGTTATGCCCAAGCACCTTTGAGGATAGTATAAGGGGAAGATATGAAGGCCCCAGCTGATTGGTGGAGGTCTGGGTGGGCTTGGAGGGAAAAGCAGCCAGACAGGGAAGATTTCATCTAATAGGCAGCTTGCATTTGGGAGCCTCTGGATTAGTGACTTATCCACAGTACCTTTTATTCTCTTCCTCATACCTGCAACCATACCAGCAATGTCCTGCAATAATTCTGAACAAGTATTCAAGAACATTTCCAGAAAATGTGTTTCCCCTAACACAGAGACCATCTCTTTTTACTCTGCCTCAACTAACTGAAGGCAGAGCACTGAAGGTAAGACCCTATGATGTAATGAGTGTGATTACGGTCTATGAGATCAACGTCTATATTATATGTATTTTTTAATCTCACTCAGTCTGAATTCCTCAGGGTATTAAAAAGCTCCTTTTGACTAGGATCTTTGTTCAGAATGTTTTGCAGCAAACTTTAGCCCAAAGCATCCAGCCTGCATTACTAACTGGGACAGTCAGCCTTCAGCTGCCTACTGGGGCCTTCCCTAGATCCTCTCACAGATCACAGACCATCTCCTTGAAATTATAACCCCAGGTCACTTTCTCCAGGTAGTGTTCCTGATTTAGTCATAGCTTTCTGTGCCTCAGAATTACAACTCCCAAGAATGGACCACCAAGCCCATCCATCATTCTACACCCCGCCTCTGCCTTTACCACATGCAATAGCAAGAGTTTATTTTGCAATTTGTAGGTACAAATATTATTAGTATCTAAAACATATTTCTTTTGATGAAAATTACCTTAAAATATTTGACACAGTAAATCTAAAGCAAAACATGATAATATAATAAATACAACATTCTATTAAATTTTAGAGTTTTACAACCTCAGAATGAATAAGTCATAATTTTAGTTTAGCAAAATCTTCATGAGTTTTGCAACTTGCAGTTTTTCTGTTTTTCATTTTCTTCTTCTTTTGTCTTAAAATCTGCTTGAACTCATTTATTGAGTGGTCAAATGACTCTTGCATGAACCCTTAGAGACAGGTGCTTTTATTCTAATTTTCCAGGTGGGGAAACTGAGCAAGGTTAACTAGATCACTAAGTCTGGAGGACAGAATTCAAATCCATATATGTACCCACTCTATTCTGTGCCTCTGATTAGTAGTACCAACTCTGCTAAATGTTGTTCTAAAAAGTTCTTTATGCATTTAAGTTAATTTTAAGGAAAGCAAATTTTCTGTAGCTATAATGACAGGAATAAAAAATAAAAATACCACATGCACATCAACTCATTTATGTTGTATTTTACAATAACTATCAGCAAGTTCATAGTATCTTTTTTTTTTTTTTTTCCTTTTTGGTACTAAGGATTGAACCCAGGAGGGCTCAACCACTGAACCACACCCCCAGCCCTTTATTTGTTTATGAGACAAGTTCTCACTAAATTGCTTAGGGCCTCACTAAATAAATTGCTGAGGCTGGCTTTTAACTTGTGATCCTCCTGCCCCAGCCTCCTAAACCACTGGGATTACAGGCATATGCCACCATGCCCAGCTCCCAGTATCATTTTTAACTAGTATTTAAACTTGTAACTATGGTCTTTACATTGCTAAATATTCTGGTGGGATTTAAATAATCATCGTTTCACCATCAATTGGCATTCCCCAACGGATTTGTTATCCCTTTGAATTTAATAGGATTGAGTAAGGAAGTACAAACACATCAATAACTGTCCTCTGCATGTGAAATTCTAAGTTTCAGTGGACACATATGACATTAATTGGTGGATAAAAGTGAATCATATGAATTATAATCCCTTCACTTATGATAACACTGGAAATGAAGGGCTGTGAATCTTAGCATATCAGTTGCCTCAACCACGTGTTAAAAAAGCATTTTGAATATTTAAGCACATTAACCATAATTTCCATTTTCAGTACTTAATAGTATATATTATAAACAAAAATCATATTATTAATCAAATATTTAATTATTATTATTTTTTGCTATGCTAGGGGTTGAACCCAGGACCTTGTTCTGGGTGAGTATTGTACACTGAGCTACATCCCAGATTAAAATATTTTAAATATGTAACTTGGTAATAATTTAGCCAAGGGATTTTAAAAAAATTGATTTCATTTGTCCTGAAGACAATGGTGCAGTCCTCCATCCTAGTTATAAGGGATTCGTTTCACAGTGCCCCCATTCGTTTGACTGAAATGTGTAACATGACCACTAGAGAGCCGTCTTCCCTTTGGCTTCAACGCTGGTAGAGATTCTCCATCTTTTCTGCTTAGCTGATAAGGATCAAAGAACTCTCACAGTGGTCCTCAATGCACTTTAGGATATGCTCTGTGTTATAGTTTATCCTAACTTCTGGGAGAAGCAGCAGATACTCCCTCTGGACCTCGGGCCTCTCAGCTAGTAAGCTGGAGGACACTGATTTTCCTGCTTCTCTCTTCAAAGAAAACAACATTGGCTTGCAGCTGATTTCTGGGATTTGAGGAGCTGTCAGGACTCCAAATATCAGGTTGGGTCATGCCAGGAGGAGAACCTGGGAGAAGGCCATGGGGAAGAGAGTGCTGTTAATTTAGGATATGACTCTTCAGCATCCCTGACAATTAAATAGGTGTGACAAAGTACATCCAGAAATGTGCTAAAGACACAATTTCTCTTTTCTGCATTGTGAGTGCAGGTACCTACTAAAGTACCTACTTTATTTCTTATTTTTCTTAAATCCTTTAAATCATTCAATTGCTGTCTTCACTTCTTTACACAGGCTTTCCTTTCCTACCCTTTTCAGTTACATGTTTATTGCTTGTCTCACCCTCCACAATAGGACTGCCCAACATGGTAGCCACTGGCCATATGAGGCTATGGAGCCCTTGGTGTGTGGCGGGTCCAGATGGAGATGTTCTGTGAATGTGAAATATACAGCAGATCTTGAAGACTTGGATGAGTGTAAAATAACTTATTAAATGTTATTTAAGAATTGGGTGAATTTTATAACATATCAATTAATACCTTAAGGAATTTGTAAAAATAATTTTGGATCAATTCATATTAAACTAGTATCCTGAATATGTTAAGTAAAATATATTGTTAATTGCACCTGTCTCTTTTTACTTTTTAACGTGGCTATTAGAAAAGTTGTGTTAGGTAGCCTGCATTATATTTATGGTGGAACACATGCTGTAAAAGGGACATTCCGTATCCTTAGACTGGATCAGTACTGAATCCCCATAACTAGGATAGTACTGGCACAGACTAGCACTTGAAGTGTCCTTGTGGAATAAAACCCAGGAGTGTTTATTTATTTGCCCCTTTAAATACTTAGTGTCAACTTGTTTCAGACACTGTTTTAGGTGTTGGAGATACAGTCAAAAAGAAAACAGGTTAACAAATTATTATGGGGCTTAAAATTGAGATTCTTCGTAGGAAGGCCAGATATTTTGGTGAAAATGTTGAGAATGGTAATGACTAGCTCTCATTTTCCTTTGTGGTTAGGGTTGCAATTGACAGTGTTTTTTTTCCACCTTGGTTATATATTTAGAATCTCCCAATCAAGTTTTAAAGACTACTGAAATCAGAATTTCTAGGGATTATAGACATTTGTTAGTTATTTTCTATCATGTGTGGACAGATGTTCATTTTAATTCTAGCTGTGAGATCTCGATTAGGTCATTAAGTCCCTGATCATTTGTGAAACTGGAATAATTAGTCTTATATTCCCCGACTGCAGTGGTATTAATGAGGTAAGAGAACATGAACTCTCTGGCTGGCAGATTTTAGAATATGCTTTCACTTTTCCTTCTCTCTCCATTTAACAGAACGGGGTTTTTTTATGAGACAGGCTCCTAACTGAGTCTCACACAGTAGAAGAAGGTATCTGAGGGTCCTTCCCTCTGTCTCATTTCTGTCTCTTATCAGCAGTCCTTTTATAAAAAGCAGAACCAAAATGAAACAAAGAAACCCAGTCCAACCATTTGGCATTACTAAGGAAAGAATGGAAATTACACTCAAAACTGAAGAACACATTCCAGTTGCCAGACATGTTTAGGTCTTTTTTTTTGGGGGGGGGGGGAGGGGGCACACTAGCACACTATTATCTATGGTAATGAATTCACCTTTCATTGCAAATGAAAGATTCAGACTAGAAGAACTTGTAATGCTCATAAACTAAATCATCAAACCATTTAAACTATAACCACTTACAACCAATCTAGAGTTGGCATCTCAATGAAAGTTAGGCATATACTATTATGTAATGTAATTTGGAATGGATTTGGAGCCTTGAAGGAGCACAATTATGCAATTTTTTTCCATTCTCTCCGGGTCCCACTTTTCCTCCTGAGATCTACGCGGTAAGTACCAGTTTCTTTGTTTTGCATTCCCATTGCTGCTCTAATTTGGAGAGAGAAGAGAACAAATATTGGAGATTGCATTTCTTATTGTGGAAAGGATGCTTAAGTGAGCGGCTTAGGAGGGAGTTTCTGACTGATAAAATGAATCAGAAAAAAAAGCTACTTTTCACTCTAGAGTCCGTGAAAAATGGAGTATCTGTCCAACACGGGTGTTTAAGGAGATACTAGAAGAAAATCCCCACCCTACCCATATGGGTTTAGTTTTGTATATTTGCTCCTTTCAAAAATCTTGAGGTAGTTATCACCCCCGTTTTACAGAGAAAAGCAAGATCTCAAAGTCATCCTGGTAATAAAACCTGAAATCAGGATTCAGGTTTTCTTTTGTAATTCATGAATGCTTTTAAAAAATTGCTTCTCATTATTAATATATATAAAAGGACATTTAAGAGATATATGTAAGTTATAAAGAATAATAATACCATGGACACCCTTGTGTGTGCCCAACATGGAGTTGAAGAAGTCCCCTGAGTGTTCTTCCCCATTGAATCTCATCCTGATCCCTCTGAGCTAACCTCTATCTTGAATTTTACAGCGATTATTCCGTTGCTTTCCTGTGTATATTTCCAAGCCTTGCACAGTATATGTTGGTTAATTTTGCATGTTCTCATTTTTTATATACAGGAATCATACTGTTAAGTGTTCTGCTATGTGATTTTCATGCTCAGTCCTACACTAGCCTACCTGCCACTGCATGTGGCTGTCCTTGGATTGTCCAGGGCTCTATTGAGATGGATCATTACCTGTGCTTTGAATCTCAGATATTGTGAATAAATATCACCTTTGTTCTTGGGAACCTGATTATCAGTTTAACTGTTCTGCCCTATTGCTTGAGCATGCTTATCTCATCAGTCATTGGACATTCTGTTTCTTCTTGTGTTTCTATTATTAAAAATAATTCTGCCATGAACGTTCTTGTGCATGTCTGCTAGTGCAAATGGGTAGCCATTTCTGGGTATTTATCTAGGCAGGGACTTGCTAGGTAATGAATATGTGAATGCTTGACTTTACCAGGTAATGCCAAACTGTTTTCCAAAGCATTGGCACCAGTGCACTTTGTCACCAGCAGGGCACACAAGTTTCAGTTGTTCCACATTCATTTTATCACTCTTCGTTATGTGACTTTTTATCTTGCCAATTTTGTAGGTAAGTAACAATTTTTTATTGTATCTTAACTTGCATTTGGATGATTGTTATTAACGAGACTAAACCCCCTTTCATATATTAACAGGCCATTTATATTTCCTCTTCTTTAAACTCCCTGTTTTTGTCTTTATTGTGTAAATATTTTTTCTATGGTGTTGTCTTTTTCCTATTAATCTGTAGAATATTTAATATATTCTGTCTATTAATCCTTATCAATATCATATGCTGCAAATACCTTCATCTGGTTTGTTAGCTTGTCAGTTTTTATGTTCTTAATGTTTTAGAGTAGTTTTGGATTTATAGAAAAATTGAATAGAAGAGAGGAGAGTTCCCAGATACTTCATCACCTTCCTTATTTTATCTTATTATTAATATCTTGCATTACTGGAAAGTTGTTACAACTTATCAACCTATATTGATGCATTATTAACTAATAATGATTGTTATGATTTGGATGTGAGGTGTTCGCCAAAAGCTCTTGTGTGAGACAGTGCAAGAAGGCTCAAAGGAGAAATGATTGGGTTGTGAGACTCTTCACCCAATCAGTGATTTAATCTGCTGATAGGGATTAACTGAGTGGTAACTGAAGTGGTAGGGTGAGGCTAAAGGAGGCGGGGAATTAGGGTGTGGCCTTGGTTTATATATTTGTACATGGAAGTGGAGTCTGTGCTTCTTGATCACCTTGATGTGAGCTGCTTCCCTCTGCCACACACTCTGCCATGATGTTCAGCCTCACCTCAAGCCCAGAGAAATGGAGCCAGCCTTCTATGGACTAAGACTTCTGAAATCATGAGCCCTCAAATAAATTCTTCCTCCTCTATAATTGTACTGGTCGGGTCCTTTAGTCACAGCCGTGAAAAAGCTGACTAAAATGATGATTTACTTTTGGTTGCATCCTTTGTGTTGCACATTCTATGGGTTTTGAAAAATACATATTATTAGGTACAAACCATCACAGCATGATACGGGATAATTTTACTAACCTAAAAATACCACATTCTCCACCTAGTCAATCCTGACCCCACCTCCCACCAAAACCCTAGCAATCTCTCTTTTTGCTAACTCTATGATTTTGCCTTTTCCAGAATATTCTGTAGTTGAAAT